AAAAAAAAAATTTTATTACATATTAAAATGGCTACATTGGAACAACAATTCGAAATTTTAATGAAAGAATATAAAAGTGTGAATTTAATGTTGAATAAACATCAGGAGAGATTATATGAATTGGAAGCAAAGTTTGATAATAAGAAATGGAAGAACAAGAATCAGAAGAATAATTAGGAAAATAAGATAGAGGAGTTGAAAAGAGAAAAGAAGAGTTTAAGAAAAGAAGAAATGGTTGGGAGGGGCAATTACAAGAATGTGCTAAAGCATTAAAAGAAGAGAAAAGAGAGAGAGAGAGATAATTGCAAGAATATGCTAAAGCATTAAGAGAAGAGAAGAGAGAGAAAGAGGGACAGTTACAAGAAGCATTAAGAGAAGAGAAGAGAGAGAGAGAGGTAATTAATGAACAATTGCGTAAAATAAATTATTTTTCTCGTTTAATTTAAGGAACATTTGCTGCAATGTTAATTTGTGACTAGTTCTCTTTTTATTATTTTCAAACTGTGTGATTCTGTTCCTTCTTTTTATAGTTAATTTGTCAACAAGAGAGTTAACATCTGCTAAAATCAAAGAAATACTTAACAAATATGTTCATAATGTTAAAAATTCTCACAAATCACTCTTCAACTCTAAAAATATACCTAATGATACTCTAGATATATTAACCTATTTGAAATTTGTAAGTCGTGAAAATGCAATAGTGCAACTAATGAATAATATGAGCAACTTACACCAGCTTGTAATAAATCCAAGAGAATATGCAAAACCTTTGAAAAATTTATATTTTGCTGCTGCTGTAGAAACAGCTGGGAAAGGCAAAACAATATTTGTTCGACGTACTTATGAAAATGAAGATAAATATTATAGGGTTGTAAGACCTGAAATTGCAGTTGCAATAAAAAATTGTATTTATGCAGGTCGGTCTTTCCGTATAGCATATGATAGTTTTACTATGCATGAGTTTAAAGAGGAATCTGAAGCTATATTTAGATTAAGATTACTTTATGAGACAATGAAATATAAGCTTGGAAAGTAAGATTTTACACATTGATCATAATAATTATTGACCATTATTATACTGATTTGATCACTTCTTATCTTTACAGAACAGAAATTTCAACTTATAAGAATTTTCATGATAAATTTAAGGGATATACTATTGCCCTTAATGAAATTCTTGATGTTATTCTTTTTTACTTTTCAAATGAAGATAACAGCTTGGATCTACCTCTTATAATCATCAATATTGATGAAACTAACTCAATATTTGAACGGAATAAAGACATATTTCTTAAAGAAGTTGTCAAATCACTCTCAGATATAATTTTTTGATATTACTTTATCTTTCCTGTTCTAATCAGAACCTATGTAAGCAGTCTTTTTTGTACTATTAAATCAACAAATGCCAAAATTGAAGAAATCTATTTACCATTACTAAAGACTCATCATGCCAAAGAAGTTATTCTTGAATTAGCAAATCGTGAGCAGATAATTTAAAGATTTGGGGTTTAATGCTAATAGTCTTTAAAGCATTTGTAAACTAATATGTTTATATTATTAGAATAAAGATTTAGCAGAATGGTAAAATTTATATAAGTTACATTTTTACTTTATAAACAATTAGTGCATTTTTTTTTAAAAAAATCTAATATTTTATTGTATACAGTATTTTAGAACTCTCTGTATATTTGGAATATATTATTGAACTACTTGGTGTAGTTGGACGATTTTTAGAAATATTGATATTTCAGATAGGCATTATTGGATATGCTGATATGAATCATCATCAATATATTACTATTAAAAAGTTCTATTATGTAGGATTTCGCCATTTCTTACAAAAATTACAGAACAATTCAAAATTCTTATCAAAAGAACAAAGGAAATCATTTATTCAAAATATAATCATTACTTTGATCACTTTAAAAAAGAAGAAAATATCAAGATTATTCTATTATTAGTAACATACAGTTTATTTGATATTGGTATCAGTCGAGTAGAATCAATTGGAACAAAAAAGAAGCGTAAATTTAAGATATGAATATACTGTATAATTTAAACCTTTATAAATATATTTAAATATATATTTCTCTTATAGGAGCTTGAACAAGAAGACATCATTTTTATTGATAAGAATTTGGATG